CCAGTGAGCGGGAACCGGTCTGTATGTGGGATCCGAACCCTCGGGCGGGAGCGCCGCCACGCTTCCCAAGCGGCGCACCATCCAGTGCACCACCGGGCCGGCCCCTCAGTCTTGTCTTTCTGACCTTGACACTTTTGAAGTGCATTGGTCAGTCATTGGGGGGAGGGGGAACTGGAATATATATATATATATATATGTATGTTTTTGTTTTGTTTTTGGCAGCTGGCCAATATGGGGATCCGAGCCCTTGACTTTGGTGTTAACGGCGCCATGCTCTGACAAAGTGAGCTAACTGGCCAGACTTGGTCAGTTATTCTGTAGAATGTCCCTCAGTTTGGGTTTGTCTGATGTTTCCTTATGATGAAGTTCAGGTTATACATTTTTGGCAAGAATGCCACAGAAGTTGTGTCCTTCTCAGTACATCACACAAGAGACCCAGGATATCTATATCTGTCATTACTGATGATGTTAATTTTAAGCACTTGGTTAGGATGGTGTTTGCCAAGTTTCTCTACTGTAAAGTAATTATTTTTCCTGTTGTAATTAATAAGTATCTTCTGGAGAGATACTTTGAGACTCGCACATAGCCTGTTTCTTCTCACCATACTTTTACCCATTCATTTTTAGAATCCATTGATTCTTGCCTACAACAATCATTACTGTGATGTTAGTCAAATAGTGATTTTTCTATTTCCATGATTTCTTCTACATTTATTAACTAGAATTCTACTATAAAAAAGTTATTCCTTCCCCCCATTGATTAATTTATTCAATTACTTATTTATTTCAGTATGGAATCATGGATATTTGTGGGTTATAATCCCTTACTATCATTATTTATTATGCTGTTCATATTGCCCCCAAATTGGCTACTGGGAGCTCCTTCAAGTTGGCTTCTGTGACCTTTTGACATATCCCCATCACTTTTTGAGCCGTTCCTTCCTTTCTGACACCACAAGATGTTCCAGGCTCATCTTTTAATTTCCAGCCCCAGAATTCCTGGAATCAGCCATTTCTCCAGGGAGCCCTGGTTCCTTTTATGGAACAATGGTATTTACAAACCACAGGCACTAGATATGCCCATTGGTAGTAGGTGCTGGTGACCCTAGGCCGTCTAGTGGACAGAGCTGGGAAATAACATACAGGCACACTAATGTACTATTATTAGCCACATTTTATGAATTAGGTAAATGACACACAGAAAAGTTAAGCAACTTGTCCAAAATCACAAGCACTTATGTAGTGGAACTGGGAAATCAAAACAATGATAAATTTACCACAAGTCCTAACAAGTGGAAGTAACTTCTTTATACATACATGTCAGCAGACAGCCACAAGCCTAGTAGTTCAGCATAGACACTCTCTTTGGAAAATAACTAGAAGTTCATAGTAATAACCACAATAATAAACATCATGTACCTAATGCCTACCCGAGCACTGGCACCCACAGTAGCTCATTTATCCCTAAAAATCCTGCAAGGTGAATATTACTATCCTCATTTTACAAATCAGCAAATCAAGGATCAAAGAAGTTAAGTGACTTGTCCAAGACTACATGGTCAAATGACACAGCCAGGTGTTGACTCCAGGTCTATCTGGATATAAAGTCCTAGTTTATTCCACTGTATCAGTGTTTTCCAAAACTGATTTTAGGTGGAACATAAATTAGCTTATTTTTTTTACTTTAATAGTTATGTTAATTTGAGTGCATGTTAGAAAAAAATATAAGTGTACATCAAACCTATAATTTCACAGGTAATATTGCATAGGACAAGGATGTTTTATAAAATAAATTTATTTAGAGAAAAACTATAAAGTAAATAATAGTAGAAGTGGTACGAGCTACAGAAAAAATCATAAAGATGGCCCACAAATGTCTGAGGTTTGGGAGAGACATTATACTCCAATGCCATGCAGCTTCATTTTCAGTTATGCCCATGAAATTAGGGTCACATAGGGCCGCAGAAAGAACAACAGACTAAGAACCTTAAATCTGGATTTTTAGCCCTAGATGTGTCACCATTACCTTTGTGAACTTGGGTATTTCATTTGCTATCTCTGGGCCTCAATTTCCTCATCTGAAAAAAAAAATGAGACAGTAATCTAATTAATTAGTACAACCCTTTTGAAAGCAATTTGATAATGATATCAACAAAAGGACTGGCTGGTTAGCTCAGTTGGTTAGAGTGTGGTGCTGGTAATACCAAGATCAAGCGATGGGATCCCTGTACCTTCCAGCTGTCAGAAAAAAGAAAACTGTGCTTAACTTTTGACCCAGAAATTCCATTGTGGGAGCTCTCTCCCAATAAAATATCAAATTTGGAAAACAATTACAAAAACAAAGAAAAGTACCAATATCTAAAAATAAAACAATCTAAATATTCAGTAATAGGAGAACAGTTAAATAATTTGGAACACATATACTTACTGGTAGTATTATGCAGTCATTAAAAATGTCTGTTAAGAAGATGACATTGAGGGCCGGCCTGGTGGCGCACTGGAGAGTG